CTTGCAAATTGATAGCTTTTTAGTTAAATTACAAATCTGTGACAATTTTTTAGTTCGAAATAGTTATAATTATATATTAATAGAATTAATTCTATTTTTTTCATGATAATTGAATAGATGAATTACTAATTGTTAATTAGTAATTAATTGAATATTAATTGAATGATTGTATAATATAAAAAATCTTTACTCAACAATCTAATAAGTCATTTTAAAATCTTTCAACACTTTATAGAAATAAAATTTAGAAAAACTAAACCAGTAATATTATAAGTTTTATCAAATTACCAATTAGATTTTTAAAAAGTCTTAAATAAAAATTATAAGTATTTAAAATTAAATATTTTTTATATTATTAATCTAAAATTCATAGAAGTTTTTTATTATATGATTTAATTTGATTTATTAATATTATTATAATACTAATTCAAATTATAATTTCATCAAAGTTTAATAGATATATATATATTAAATAATTAATATTATATAATGATTAACAAAATTATAAAATTATATATTGTTGTGATATGAATTTTAATATATCACATGATTTTTTATAATTTATTTTGATTGGATAATTAATTTACATGTGATTTATATATCATATTCATATTTATTTCATATTACTCATATTTTACTCATACTATTTCATTCTATTTTTATTATATTTTATACTATTTTATTTTATTTTTATTATATTTCATACTATTTTATTTTATTTTTATATTATTTTAATTATAATTCATACTAATTATATTTATTTATATTATTATTATTAGTATAAAAAACATGTGTTAATTGAGTTATATAACCAAATTTGATTAATATTAATGATGAAATTTATGTAATATTAGAGTAAGTAATATATAATCATCAAGTGAGCAAACACTTTTTGTAACCATAATATCAATCAAAAATAATTTTAAACTTTAAAGATTGAATAACAATAATTTATATTAATATAATATATATTTTAACTTAGAAAAAAAATCTTCTAGATTTTTTTATAATTTTCCACCAATTTAATAAATTAGATAATTAGTCTTTTTATTATAATTTTCTTTTGATAAAATCTTCTTAGAAGTGAGTTATATTATAAGTTTTGAATTAGAGATTTTTAGTTAAGTATCCTTTTTCTTTCTTATTTGTATTCTTTTATTTTTAAAAGATCTCCTATCTATAACAAGTATCATTTTCTATTAACATAATTAACCTCTCATTATTATTCTGTGAAGTTAATTAATATTATTTAGAAATCTAATAAAAAAAGAAGATATTTTTATTAAAAGTTAATTAATAAAAGAAGATTATTTAATAATAAATTATTTAAATTAAAAGAAAATTTCTGAACTCATTTTAACTATTTAACAAAATAAATACTTCATTACCTATCTTTAGTAAATTAGTCTCTCCTAACTTTAAATATTTAAAACATGTAAAATTTTTTAGTTAAATATAATAACTCTTTCACATGATTAAAACATGTAAAAAATATGTGATCTATATCTAAAATCAATGAAAACAGTAACAATATGTAACTTTATTAATAAAATATAATAAAAATTGAAATTTTGAATTATATAAACATTTTTAATATAAATATTTTCAATTTTCTTAATAAATATTTTTTATTTTTATATTAAAACAAAAATTATAAGTTATAATTAACATATATTTTTTCTAATAAAGTTATTTTAATTGCAATTAAAACAAATTTTTTAAAAAAATTCAGAAAAAATATATGTTAAACTATAACTTATAATTTTTGTTTTAATATAAAATAAAAACTATTTATTAATAAAATTAAAAACTTTTATATAAAGTAAAAAACATGTATTTTTGGTATTTTTACTATATTTTATTAATAATTTTTTTACTATTATATTTTTTATTGTTATTATATATAATATTAATAAATATTAATAAATATTATTATTTATAATTAATAAATTAGATTTAGATTTTTGTACTGCATATAATACAATTTGAAAAATGCATAAAAAATTCAAAAAATTATAAAACCAAATATTTTTTATATACAAAAATCTATTAGATATTCTAATATTATTAAACTTGATTTTATTTGATATTAATTAATAAAATAATTAAAAAAATTTTTTAAAACATGTTATTTCTTGAAATTTTGGCTATACTCATATAATACAACATAAAGAGTATAGCAATAGAAATTCAATCATATTATATTAATTTTTTTCTTTACTATTGTGTATAATAAATAACTAAATACTAAAATGCTCCTTGCTAATGGAATCATAGTATTGCATTACGACTGTCACGGTGACGAAATAGCTAACCTCACCTTCCAATGCATGAAGAAATGATTATTATATTATCGTGATGCTAGTCCCTAGAATTAATGAAGAAATGAAATCATAATGACACATTTACAAATCTCAAATGGGCGTAGTACTCAAAAATAATTTGCAGGACCGCGATGAAACAAAAAAGGCAGAGTTTACAGAACACATTCGCATAATCGTTTGTCACCGGTGAGAGTAACTAGCATCGTTACACCACCAAGTTATATCACATTGCCGGACTTGTAATTCCCACCACTAACCTCTCTTGTCTCAATAGTGCACATCAGAAATCAAGCTAGGAAAGAGGGAGGCAGAAGTAGTAAGTTTGTTATTTTAATATGGAATATCGAGTAAAATCTTTTAATTCAGAAAAAGCGGATGATCATGTACTTCAAAATTTAAATTGGACAAAATTCATGAAATTTTACATATAGATGCCATTGGTAGAAAAAGAAGAGTTGGTTGATATACATAGTATACAGAATAAACCATAAAAAGAAAAATATTGTTAATGCGCTAACTTATTTTTCCTTTAATTGCTGATGATATATATGATTTAACCATCTTTCAACTCCGATTGCTTGATAATGAGACCGCGGCGACGAGAATAGATGATAGACGTGGTGTCCACCCTAGAAATAAATAATAAACTTTGTAAAGTTTCATATACGATTATTATAAATATAATATTTTAATTTGTATTACCGGTATTTGAATAAACCGTGTTTCAGATTTTGATATTTGTTGAAGTTTTTCAACGAATTTTTTTGATGATTCAAAAGGAATATATTGATCACGATCACCGCTAAATTTTGAAAAAAAAATATATCAATTAATCGGATAACATTTTTGACAAACAAAGTAATAAACTTACTGAAATACAAGAAATGGGACAGATTCCTTCGTAATCAAATTCACTGGTGAATGTTTACGCAAGAATTCTTCATTGATTTCTGCATGTCCGGAAATCACTTTTGAAAAGTGATTTGACACATCAAAATAACTTGTTATTTTATTTTTTGTTTTGCCTATATCCATTAGATGTAGTAAGTCTGTGTGCGCATTAATCAGTATGACAGCATTTACAGACGTGTCGACCTTTTCAAAGTGTGGTTGGTATTCCAATGTGTTTGGTGTTAGTGCTGCCATTGCTGCTAAGTGGCCTCCTGCGCCGTCGCCTGATTTATGAATTGAAATTTTAATCTCCAAATTCATTTATCTCTCTCTCTCTACCTACTCATATGCATCAAAAACCACAAAAATTTACCAGCAATTGCAATGAACCCCGGATCACCTTTAAATGCATGAATATTTTCTTTCACCCATCGTATGGCCCGTTTCACGTCGATCAATTGGTTTGGATAGATTGATGAGGGGGCGAGTCGATAGTTTGTTGATACTACGATCTTTTTTATTAGATAAATAATTCATTTGTGAGTTAATGATTTTGTGTACCAATTTTTGTTAACGTGAAGAACTTATTAATGCTCATATTAATAAAAATACTTTACCCAACCAGCTTCGGCTAAATGAAAAATTATAGGGTATGGTAGACCTTTGTCACCGCCTGTCCAACCACCACCATGAACGAATAACTAAATAAAAGGGATTATGGTATTTATAAAAGACTATCTTATTAGAAGAGAAGAATGAAAATTTGTTTTGAATTATATGTAATTTGTTAATACACACCAGTACAGGTTTCGGCGAATCAGAACTCAAATCTTTACGCACGTACACATCCAGTGCCATGTAATTTACTTGCTCAAAATCATCTTTTCGCGCTGCCGCTGCTTCGTGAATGGTGGCATAGTTTACTGGAGGTGAATTGGATTAAACTTGAATTATTTAAAATTTATTTGAACTTTGAATTGAATTTAAATTTAATGGGAAATGATATGATAATAAAAGCCAACGATGTAATAAAAAAGACGTACTATTTTCATAGTGAAATAAATTTACAGGAATAAATCTTGGATTCACCATTCGATGCCAGAATTTTTGGCTATTTTTGTGTTAAGGGATGGTGAGTTATTTTTTTGTATATACCTTTTTAGAAATATGCAATGATAGTGAATATATGCAAAAATTTTATTCACCTAGTGAAAGAAGGCAGTTCCAAGTCATCATCATCACTAGAATCGCAGGCAAGAATCGCAGATTCGATTGCGGATCTTACTTCATACCCGTCCAAGAAAATCATGAATAGGCTATAACATAGGGAATGAAAGCGAAAAAGGTTGTTAGATTGAAACAATTCCGAGTTGATATTTTTCAAGTCATTTAAAAAAAGGAGAAATTTCTCAGCTCGGAATCTTTGATTAATCTAATGGAGCAAAAAGAAATAATCTTTGCTCGAAAAAATCGAATTCACGCCTCAACTCTCCAATAGACAAATTTTCGCACAATCCCCGCCCGAAAAAAATTCGGACAAAAGATCCTTTATTCTCTGCACATTTATCTAAAAAAACATTTCTTTTTACTAACCCGATCATAGTGAGTAAATCTACTATGTAAAACATTCTAGACATCCACCCATCTATAACATTAAACATAATTCGAAAATTAGCAACCATGCTAACATCATTGCAATTACATTAATCATATATAAACAGCAGATTGTCATAACATACTGAAAACTCCAAAAAAAGAAGCAAGTACTATAACTCCGATTTTCAAGATAATAAAGAGGAGTGGCCATTCGGATATCACAGAATACGCGAAGACGCTCGCTTTTTTACATTGTTTTTTTAATTTTGTATTTAATTGTATAATTATTTATTAGTTTCATGTTTGCATATAAAAGATCAGCAATTTATGCTAAATTCAACAAATTAATTATTTGTTCTTTAAATTTAAGCGAGAAATGTCTAATTTTTTATTTAAAATTAACAAAATAATTAAAATACCATATTTCAACCGCTCTATGTTTGGAATTTTTCCTTCAACTGAAGCGAATGCTAATGCAGCAATTAAGACTACACTTAGATAGTAAAATAATACAAATAACATGTTATTCTTGTTTTTCGAGCGAGTGTTTCAAAATATGTAGATTATCGTTATGTTTACAAATTAGTAGATTACGATTATACTATCCGATTACGACACACATACACGCGATCTCCTCGGAAAGAATGCCTATTCTCTTTTATTCAACGATTCATGTATGCACGAAAGATTGTAATACAATTGCATATGATTGAAATAAATTCCCGATCTTACATGAAGGATCATGAATTCAGTCGAACATGCTAGATCTTTCTTTCAGCCACAATTTGTTTTCACCATAGTATTAAACTCACCATAAATTTTAGTGTTGTTATTTTGATACGCACCGTGATTTGTTGGGATACACCGACAAATGATTAAACACATTAGAACTTGCTGGAACAAAGATGTCGTAAAGCAGTCTACCCCGCTACTTATAAAGAGGCCCTTTTTTCAGGTTCTCTTTTCAATTTGATTAATTTTACCATTATTAAGTTCAGCACAATAAATTATTAAAATCACTCTACTTGTTACCACAACTTTTTACTTATCAAGTATATTAACAAATACAAAATACTGTGTTAGAGGATTGCAATTTCTCGTAATTCATAAACACTTCACAAAATAATCAAAAATGACTACTGAAGGAAAAGCTGGTATGTTAATTAAACATGCTATAAATTTTTTATTTTTTCTCGTCGTAATGTCGCTATTGTCAATGAATTCTTGTGAAAATTTTTTACTATTTATTACACAGACATTCCGACATTTTCGTTTACTTTTATATAACATAAAATACTAATAACTTTACAATTTTTTTAATATAGTTGGTATCGATCTTGGAACCACATACTCTTGCGTGGGTGTATGGCAAAATGACAGAGTTGAAATTGTCGCAAACGACCAAGGAAATCGAACGACTCCCTCTTACGTGGCATTTACTGATACAGAACGTCTTATTGGTGATGCAGCGAAAAATCAAGTAGCCATGAATCCTTACAATACTGTGTTTGATGCTAAACGACTTATTGGTCGCCGTTTCGTTGAACCCGAAGTTCAATCCGATATGAAGGTAATTTGAATTAAACCAAGTTTGTATAATTTTGTTCGACTAGTTCGTTTTATAACTAATTGAATTTCTTATGTCATTAAATTAATAGCATTGGCCATTCAAAGTCATTGATAAGAGTGGAAAACCATATATCGAAGTTGAATACAAAGGAGAAAAGAAACAGTTCACTCCTGAAGAAATCTCATCAATGGTCCTAACGAAAATGAAGGAAACGGCCGAAGCATTCTTGGGTACCAAAGTCCAGAACGCCGTGATCACAGTACCAGCATACTTCAACGATTCGCAACGTCAAGCCACAAAAGACGCAGGCATGATCTCGGGATTGAACGTACTGCGTATAATTAATGAACCGACAGCCGCGGCTATCGCTTATGGTTTAGATAAGAAGGCAGCTGGTGAACGTAATGTATTGATCTTTGATTTGGGTGGTGGTACATTTGATGTGTCTCTTCTCACAATCGAAGAAGGAATCTTTGAAGTGAAAGCAACTGCTGGTGATACACATCTTGGCGGTGAAGATTTCGATAATCGTCTTGTCAATCACTTTGTACAAGAATTCAAACGAAAATTCAAGAAGGATCTCACCTCTAATGCTCGTGCTGTCCGTCGTCTAAGAACCGCTTGTGAACGTGCAAAACGTACTCTCTCCGCCTCAGCGCAAACATCAATCGAAATCGACTCATTATACGAAGGAATTGATTTCTATACATCATTAACACGTGCACGTTTCGAAGAATTAAATCAAGACTTATTCAGATCCACAATGGAGCCAGTCGAAAAAGTGCTTCGTGACGCAAAGATTGACAAAGCTGCCGTGCATGAAATCGTATTGGTCGGTGGATCAACACGTATTCCAAAAATTCAAAAGATGGTTTCGGACTTCTTTAACGGAAAGGAGCCAAATAAATCAATCAATCCCGATGAAGCTGTCGCTTACGGTGCCGCCGTGCAGGCTGCCATTCTTTCTGGTGATACTTCGGAAAAGACTCAAGATTTGTTACTTCTCGACGTTGCACCACTTTCAACTGGTATCGAAACTGCCGGTGGTGTCATGACTCCACTAATCAAACGCAACACCACAATTCCCACAAAGAAATCCGAAATCTTCTCCACATATTCCGATAATCAACCTGGTGTATTGATTCAAGTCTATGAAGGTGAACGTGCTCGAACAAAGGATAACAATTTACTTGGTAAATTCGAGTTGACTGGAATCCCACCAGCTCCTCGTGGTGTACCACAAATCGAAGTCACCTTTGATATTGATGCTAATGGTATCTTAAATGTAAGTCATCCGCTTGTTACAATTTTTGTTCTTTATGCATACGAAAAGTATACTGAATAAATATTTGGCATTCTTAGGTCTCTGCTGTTGATAAGACGACTGGTCGCTCGAATAAAATCACCATCACAAACGATAAAGGTCGTCTATCGAAAGAAGAAATCGACCGTATGGTTGCTGATGCCGAGAAATATCGTGCTGAAGATGAAAAAGTCGCACAAAGAATAACGGCACGCAATGGTCTAGAAAGTTATGCATATAATCTTCGAAACACTTTACAGGTAAATTATTTATTCTATATAGATTTAATATCTTTTGCATCGATAAAGAAACTAATCGTGCTGTATTTAATTTTTAGGATGAGAAAGTAGCAGGAAAACTTGAAGCAGATGACAAGAAGAAACTCGAAGATGCAATCCAAGAAGCGATCACCTGGTTAGACCACAATAACGAAGCCGAAAAAGACGAATACGAACATAAACAAAAGACGCTCGAGGAAATTGCCAATCCTATAATGATGAAATTGTATGGTGCTGGCGGAGCCGCTCCAGGTGGTTTCCCCGGTGGTGCTCCAGGTGGTTTCCCTGGAGGTGCTCCAGGTAATGGTGGTGAAGAAACTGGACCAACGATCGAAGAGGTTGACTAAAGAACTATTTTAATTTGCTTTACTTATATATATATACAAATAATACATGAACATTGTAGAAATATTATTATAATTTTATTAGCTTTATTTTATACTATCTTCTAAAAATAATAGTCTAAAGAAACGAATTTAATAGTGTATTATAAAACCATCCTCACTATTACTACACCTTAATTGTAGCTAGTATTATTTATACACAGATATTTCTTAATAATGTACGTGATTGAAATAAGAAAACTAAACTTTCAACTTGTGTAAATAAATATATTACTTTTCAATTATTTGCTCGAGCAAATATTAATCACGAAAAAATTGCAGTTAGTAGCATATAATTTTTATTATTCTGATGCATACGGGCAAAAACTTTTTTCGCATTGTTAGAATAATAAAAAAATAAGAATAATCGTGGGATTGCATGGAAGGTGAACAGTATCCAAAAGTTTCAGATACTTAAAGCAGTCGGACCCAAAACCGTCTCGAAAGACAATAACTGCCCCTGTTCTTTGGTTCCACTATATTTTAATGCTATTATTCTATATACTAGATTTTCGAAAGAAATTCCCTTAACAACTAATTTCCCCGCATATAACTGCTCCTACCCACAGGCACATTGCTCCGCAAAATTATTATTCCCACCAATATAAAACCAGAGTAGATCACTTCTCCGAAATAATACCGTTACAGCGCTGCCAATAGCGATAGTACCCCTTAGATTCCTCATTTTGCTGATAAGCAATTTGCGGCTTAATTTTTATAAGTATGGTGCATAAAATCTAAAGTCATCAAACGTTTGTATTTTATAAAAATGGATAAACTTAAACTTCGAATTTACTTCTTAGTAAAGAAGTTTATACAGTTTATAAAATAAAAACGTTTGATGATGCACTATACAAGTTAGATTTTACTATTTCAAAATATCAAATTCTTTTTGCAATACGAAACTTATAAGTCAATATTTGGCCTGTCTTCTCGAATTGGCGATCACGAAAAATTGTGATCAAATTCAAAACTAAAATTCGTAGCATGTTGCCCTAATCTCTTGTGGGCTGTAATAAAATATCTCGTTACAAAGGCGGGTTGAGCATGAACACGAAGTATAAAGGTAAGAAGCAGGTCTTCTACTACTTGCAAAATACTTGCTCGGATTTTTTTCCGGGTCAAAGGATTACCGTTCAGCGCTGCCAATAGTACCCGGGGTACTTTTCAAAAAACCCA